GTTTGTCTGCATGTGTGTGTGTCTCGGTGTTTTTCTCCATATTTGATGTGACTGTGTGTATATCTTCGTTTGTGTCTGTGTGTGTCCCCGTATGTGTTTGTCTTCATGTTTGCCTGTGTATGTTTATGTGTTTTGTCTGCGGGTGTATCTATAAGGCTGTATGTATGTATCTCTGTGTGTGAGTGTCTGTATGTCTGCGTGAGTGTATGTGTCAGCATGTGTCTGTCTGTCTGTGCATGTCTATGTGTGTTTCTCTGTGTGTGTTGTGTGTGCCCCTTTGTTGTCTGTATGTGTCTGCATGTCAGAGTATATGTCTGTGCGTGCTGAATATATGTGTCTGCGTGTGTATTTCTATGTGTTTGTATGTGTATGCATTTCTGCGTGTTTGTCTCTGTGGGTGTCAGTATGTGTTTGTCTGCCTGTTTGTATTTGTGTGTGTGTGTGTGTGTGTTTGACTGCGTGTGTGTCTATGTGGCTGTAATCCAGAGTCAATATGCCAGATTTTACTTCAAAAGTAACAATAAGCTACAAAAAAATTTAATATTATGCCACACCATTAATAACATAAGCATAATTAACATTTGACCAGCATTTTAAAAGAATGTAGGCAAAATTGGCTCTGCTGTATGGTGCAGGAGCAGCTCAAAACATATCACATGAAAAAAATCTGCATAACTGTCAACAATTTTGTCAACCATCAAACAGTTTGTTAACATATGTCCCTGTTCAAGTGTAACAACACATACACATCTATACAATATTAATCATATGAAATCTGTAACATATTTATCAACCCTGATACAACTTATCAACAATGATACTATTTGTCAACCATGATATCTGTCAACATGTGTCCCTGTCCGAGTCCCCCAGACCAGGTGTAACAACACATACATTACTATACACAGCATATGAAACAACTGATAATTACATGTGTGCTGGCTGCTAGATGTTCCAAAATGAAATAAAGCAGACTCCCAAAGCCTGTTGTTAAGTTTGAAGGGAGATAAATGGTCGTAGACCATGAGGCAGACCAAGAAGACGAAGGAGGAAAAATGTCCAGACAGACCTGCAAACACTTGCTGTCACCAACTGGAAAGAGAAGGCCAACCAGAGAGATGAATGGAGGCCGGTGATATCTGCAGCAATGAACCTCAAGGGCTCGGAAAGCTGAAGAAGAAGTGAAAGTTTTATAATGTAACCTCCAGGAAAGTAATTTATCTGGTCATACACAGTACTGGAACTTTTTTTTAATGCATCATTTTTCAGCACTAGGGCGGGGGGGGGGGGGGGGGGGGGGGGGGGGGGGGGGTGGGGGGAAGAAGGGGAGGGGGAAAGAGAGACAACCCTAATAACCCCAACACATGAAGTCAACTGCATTGTTCTCATCATCAACCAATTCTTTGTTATTCATTGTTCAATTACAATCTGGCAATATCTTTATGAGTTTTGTTGGATTTCTATGTTGATTGGTGTACACAGCTTTGAAATTAATCATGTGAATTAGCATTGTCGGCTCTGTGGCTAAGTTGATGTGAATGCTTCGTAATGCCGTGGTACCAGGTTCAATCCCAGCTGCAGGCCATGCGCCTTGCGTTGGCTTCGACAGTGGTATCAGGGGGCCAACCATCCAGAAAGCAATGGCAAACTACTGGATGTAAATTTGCCTAGAGAAACCACACAATAGCCAGGGGCTGCTGGGGTTGGTTCTGCAACGTCCTGTAAAGGATACGCAACTAACCTAGTAATAGCATTCTTCTTCTTATACAACATTCTGTGTGGTGTTGGTAGTCAAGTCTGTCCACTTCCTTCTGTCTCCCGTATTTTCAATCCTGACACAGATGATCTTCTATGTCATAAAGCCAAACTGTCCGGTATCTTCTCTCTCAGTATCCCACTGCTCCTTTTCCTCTCCAACCTTCCCACCATCACAATGTACACCAGTCTTCTCCTTCTCGTGAAACAACAAAGAATGTAGATTGTCTCCGTCGGATATGGGACATCAGTTTTCTTCATGACTTAGTTTTATTTAACACATCTTCATTACTCTTTCTTTCTGTCCAGGAAGTTCTCGTCATTGAAAACAAAAACCACAGCTCTGCTGCTCCCACATAAGTTTACACTAATTATATTTGTTGTTACGTACAGTAATATAATTTTTTATAGTAATATTGTTATCATAATATTATAAATAAACAACACAGACAAAAGTCAGTCAGGGACTCTGTTTACGTCAGTGGCACCCCCAGACATAGAATGCTAAGCTCATACAGTTTATACACCAATCGGAACTTTGTGAGAGATGTAGTCAACATTGTGCCAGTCGCCCGAGGTCATGGGGTCAGCCTGGTCAGTTGTGAACAAATATGTCCTAGTGTGGATGCGAACCCACAACCTTTGGATTGGCAAATGAGCATCTAGCCCAGTGGTCTCCAACCTTTTTTTTCAGGTCACACCCTCCCTGAGTATATGGCAAGACCCTGACACCCCCCCGCCCCCTTTTTGTACATGACAAGCCCCCCCCCCCCCCCCCCCCCCCCCCCCCCCCCCAACATAACAAAATCTGATTAAAAAGAAGAGAACATTTTCCACAGCAAGAGGAATAGAAAGTGAAAGGACTAATTGGACAGAAAATGTTCTTCAACTATAATGAAATGTGTGTGTTATCATATTAATTCGATTGGTAATGGCAAATGTACAAACCACTCATAAAAATAAAACAGGTCCTTCTCGTTTTGTTTAATAAATAGTTTTTTAAAAGTTTTTAGTTTTAATTAGACAAAATGTTAATCTAACAGACTATTACAAACATAAAAGGATTTACTTTCAAAATTGCTTGACACAACTCTTGAAACCTCCTTATGCCCCCTTGATGGGGGGGGGGGGGGGGGGGGCAGACAGCACTGGTCTAACCTCTTAGCTGCCCGGCTCTCTAGCGTAGTTGGCTAAACCGGATTGCACGGAGACCGGGTGACGAACTCTTTGTGGTCCGGGTTCAATCCCGGGGGTAGGCAGGAAAGCCACATTTTCTCCCAGATTTAGGGTATATACAATGGAATCAAGGCCGAAAGGTTGCGATATCCATAATACCAAGCCTAAGGGTTAACAACTCATGGCTCCTGGATACTAAAACAAAACAAACCTCTTAGTTATCATGGCCCCAAAACTAAGTATACACTTTAGAACCTACAGAACTTTAAATATTGTATTTCCCGAAGTATGAGACAACACTTATTTTACGAAAAGTAGTCTAAAATGCTATCAGTATTATACTTACTGTCTAATCAGAATTTGGCCTGATATTATAGCCAGGTGTTGGGCTCTTCGTAGCAACACCTGGTCGCACTCCCCTCCTTGAGAACCTCATTTTCTCGAGTGTTTGGCTTCTCTTGGTTTTCTGTTGTCCGTTGAGTTTCCCCCCCCCCCCAAACCTTCTTAATCAGGGAATCCCCGTGTGAAAATATCCCACGTTGCACACAACATGACCTCCCCTGGATTGTAAGTCAAAACTAAGCCAGATAACTATTCCACTAAACATGTGCTATCCAGCATTGAAATTACTCTAGCAGCTGGAAACCCAGAAAGAGGGACATGGATTATAGGCGAATCTCTGGGGTTCAACCTGAGTGACCAACTACTAGTGCTCCCCCACCCCACCCTCAACCAGGTGAAGTAGTAGTCTCTTATATAGGTAACTACAGTCAAGTGTAGACTCTTCATATAACAGGTGAACAACAAGTTGAGATGGCTGCAAACAAGTGATCCACCAACGTAATAACTACAGTCAAGTGTAGACTCTTCATATAACAGGTGAACAACAAGTTAAGATGGCTGCAAACATGTGATCCATCAATGTAATAACTACAGTCAAGTGTAGACTTCATATAATAGGGAACAACAAGTTGAGATGGCTGCAAACAAGTGATCCATCAACATAATAACTAGTCAAGTGTAGACTTCATATAACAGGTGAAAAACAAGTTGAGATGGCTGCCATTAAGTGATCCATCAATGTAATAACTAAACTGTTTCAAATGCAACCAATACACTCTAGACAGATCCAGCGAGTGTTCATTTGAAATGCAGTATTCAACAGTCACAGAGTCATCAATAATATTTGCAGGATGTAATACATTTTTAGGGGGGTGGGGTGGGGAGGGGTAGTTGAGATCCCCAATGCCCCCTTTTTTTTCATGGATTTCAGGGTTATACATGGTAGACAATTTCTAATTTTTACCTTTTTTTTGTGTGTGTGCTAATTTTGTTACCGTTAACCAATCCTGACACAAAAATGAATTGCCAACAGTCCGCAGATTAGTGAAGAATTATATCCGAGCTGCAAGGATGTGGTTCCCCCCCCCCTCCTCCCATCAGCACGGGGGAAAAAACATAGGCATGCTGGGAAAGTTGGAGGGAAGAGAGGCAGAGGGAGACCAAGTGAAACGGAGGGAGACATTTTAAAGCTAGGCTGTGATATCTGCGTCTCTCAGCCCAACACATCCAATTTCAGCAGACCCCTAATTAGTTGCTGTAGCGACTAGATGCTCGCCTGCCGGACGGAAGGTCATGGAGTCAGGTCATGAAAGAGGCCGGAGTCTGACTTTTTTTTTTAAATGACCTTGGCTCTCAGATCGAACCAGTCTTAAATGGGCATGAGGTAAAGTCCTGGGAAATAAAGACTGCCAGGGTAATGATGGCCACATCACCCACCAAGCACGGATTGGTCAATAAAATATAGGTCTAACCCTATATGCCCGATAAGTCTGAAGGCATGGAAAATGGTCCTAAATAGTAAAATTTTATGACTTGCTTGTTTCATGGTGGGTGGGGGGGGGGGGGGGGGGGCAGTGGGTCTATTCCCCCAAAACCCGGGGCCCCATAACTCACATTGGAGCTCTGCATACATTTGGCAGTTATATTTGTTTTTATTCTACAAGAATTTATCTCAAACACATTTGGTGGGTTAGTTTCTTAAATATTTGTTCACAGGGAAGTGGTAATCACATTTCTATCAACTTGGTCACTTCTGTAAATTTGCTGCTCTCGCTCGTCTCTTTCCCTCGCTCCTCTTCTCCCTGCAGTTTTCTCCTCCACATTGTTTCTGTGAGGCCCAAATTAATTCCCTCAGCGATACCCAAGTCACTATCATCATCCGGCTGCTCGATGTTCTGCAGTCGCATGAAGCCAGACGTAGATTTTCGGTGCACAGACTTCACTTTCTGATACACCAATACCTGTATGGTAACGTATAACGTAGACAGGAGACATGACAAGAACAACATCATATACATCACAGACATCTTATTCTTGACCTCGTACAGGTACCCAGTCAGGACTGGAACTGTCATCTCTCCGACACCACACCCCGCCACAAAAACAGCTGTGGCTCTGCCCGACAACGGGTAGCAAGAGTCCGCCCAGGACACAGCTGTGGGAAACAACGAAGACATACCCAGACCCAACGTTACCGTTCCTACCCACAATGCTGCTGGATTCACTGGAATGCTGAAGCTCAGGATCAAAGCCCCAAACATCGTGAGGCCTAAGTTCATCATCATCATCCGTGAAGGTTTCAAGTAACGAGCAATACAAATAGAACAGCCTCTTCCAAAGGCCAAGCAGCCCCAGAAGAGAGCAGTCAACGTAGCTCCTTCAGACAAAGTTAGCGGACTTGCTGAGTACTCCACGGCAAAAGTCATCAGCAGACCCCCAAATGTGGCCTCCATGCCCATGTAGGCCAAGAAGAAGAAGAACAGCAGAAGGATTACAGATGCTACAAAGTAGGCTGACAATGGATTTCTGGTTAGATCTCGACTGTGTGGTGTAAACTGTGGGGACTTTAACGATTGATCTTTGCAGTGAAGGAAGAGGAACAGTCCAGCGTTGACAGTCAGAAGCAGGCCAATGACTGTGTAGGCAAACTGAATCTTGGACATGCCTGCTAATTTATTAACTACATCTTGTAACAGGTCTCCTGTGGTCTCTGGTTTAGCTGCAGTTGATTTATTTGTGGTGATGCTGGCTGTAGTGTTGCTTGAAGCTTTAGTTGAGTTTGCTGCTGGAGAAGTAGTTTCTGATGATGATGCTGGTGCTGCAGAAGTAGTTTCTCTTGATGATGTTGGTGCTGCTGCAGTTGTTAGGGTAGCTGCAGTTGTGGTTGCATTGGCTACTGTGGGTGCTTCTCTCCCAGTAGTTGCAATAGTTATGTTTGCAGTAGCTGTAGTCATCTTGGATGGTGTTGGAGTAAATGAAGAAGGAGCTGGTGTTACTCTGGAAGTACCAGGCCCAGAAGCACGGACTCCTTCAGCTGGTCTGGCAGCTGTAGTTGTTGAATCACTAACATCAACCACCACTGTTGTTGGTAAAATGCTAGACCCCGGCTCCAGCTTTGAAGCTTGTCCAGTAGACACATGACCAGTCCAAGGAACAGAAGCACTACCAGTGCTGTTGGAAACATGACTTCCATTTATCATAACCCTTGCAGTTGTGTTCTGACCATCAGTTGGTACTGGGACTAATGGTGTCACCTTTTGTGTATCCACATTACTTTGTGGGGCATTCTTTTTGAGATCAATAATTTTAGAATTGATAATTTCTGCGTCTGCATGATCCTTACTAAGAGCATCCCCGTTATTAACATCTGGTTTCTTAGCCCTCGTCGTTGCCTGGCTAAGCTTTACGGTGCTTTCTACCTTCACTTCTGCATTATTGGCTACTACTTCAGTTTCATTTTCCCTATTTGTCTTTTGCCCAATCACAGTTTGATTACCTGAACTGTCCCTTTTCATACGGAATTTCATAAAACCTGGAAACCTTCCATATTCAAACATGGCACTATACTGTTGATTCAAACTGATTTCATTTTTATACAAATGATTTGTGTCCCAGTTTGCACTAAAACCAGATGTTTCGGTGCCTGCTGCATTCTGACCAGTAGTATTATTCAGAATCTTCCCATTATAATCAGAATGAGACTTTAGAAAGTTGTAATCATGATTCAAATAATTTAATCCAAATGAATCCTGGGTTAATGGATGGCTACCAACGGATCTGACTTTAAACTTCACCGGATGATAGCTGCCAAGTGTTGAATTGTGGGAGGTGTCGGTATCAAACAGGAACGGGCGAGCAATTAAAGGTGCTAGAAATGCTCCAATACCAAAAGCAAAATGTAGGACCTGCATAAAAGGAGCACTTCTCTTCCCCCAGATCTTGATGCAAAACACATTTCCACCTGGAAAGTAAACAGTACTTTACAACCATGTGAAAGTACCTGTGGAGTACCTTGTAAATTATAACAGAAAGATGAGGCATCATGGAAATATAACAAGTTACGATGTTTTAGAAAGCAGTTCAAACACAAGCAGAACTATTCATTTTATTTTTTTCGCATTCACCAGGTGTAGGACTCCGGTGAAAAGTTTTGGATGTTCGCCCAATTCTGGACTTCAGACTTTTTTTTTTCAGAAATTTACTTTTGCATGCATGTCTGTTTTACAGATCTGGCTTATTTAAATGCAGACTGTTGGTTCCTCACCCCTCAGGCAGATGCATTCCAATTTTGAAGGAAAATACTCCTAAATAGTTGCTTTGTGTCCCCCCCCCCCCTTCCCCTTTTAATGAGGCACCAGTGCACCATGAAGCAAAGAGAATTAATTACTTGCATCGGAAAGAGGCAATCTAGGTTCCATGGGTATGTCACACGAAGGTGAAAACCGTACAAAATATATTGTGCTGATATAAAGAAATGAATTTTACTAAATAAAAACTGCGACTGAGAAACTCAACAGGAGGGAATAGGGATAGATGCAACCAAATCTCGGCTGTCTGTGTTTGGTGAATTCACAGAGGAAAGCTGTAGTATGTTGTGACAAAAAGACAGCTGGAGGCAAAGAGAAGCACAGACTAAGACAGTTTTAGTCAAGCATTCTTCTGTCTTGTTCTACAGTATTTTCCTTAACAACTTAGAGGTACAATTACTATGATAATTATCATTATTAGTCAAACAGTAATGGCTACTCCATATCTCCCATGCATTTATAATTTATATATTAATAATTCTGACAATTAACCTAAAAATAGATGTGTGAATGAAACAATCAGAGAAACAAAGATATTATACTATAATTATTATGTGTGTGCCCTTTATTCCCCAACCAACTTGTGCAAGTGATCCTATTCTTTACTGATGTGTCCGGCTTACCCCATGTTTTCCTCACCTGTTTCAGCTTTTCCTCTACATCTCTTTTCCAAATTTCTCTCTGCCTGTGTGTGTTTGTGTGTTTATGTGCGCTTATGCAAATTTTTTTTTTAAGCTGCCTTTATTTTTTTGACCAAGTGGGTTTTCCAGTTCTTAACCCCTGGAACAGGCATGCTCCGTGCAGAGTGACAAGCATCACTTTAGAGGTCTAGGGTAGTTAGCATCCTTTGCCAGTGTGTTGGGAAATGAGCAGGCAGACAGACTGGCCAATTCTGCAAACACTTGGTGGTGAATTGATGTATGACAAGCTAGATGTTATGAGGGCCCTTTGGGAGTGAGTTAACAGTGCGGGGGCATAGATAGATCATCATGATCTGAGGAGAATGGCGCTGTGAGGATTTCCCAAGGGATCCGGCAGACGCTCAACACTCAAGGGAAGGGTGAGACGGATATACAATCAGACAGTTACTGATGCTATCAGAAGTGGAACTCTTTGCTTGCTGCTGAAGACGGGGATAAGGCCCTTACAGAAGTGTCCTGAGATATGATGCCGCTGCTCAATTCAACCTTCAACCCCTGGAAACTACAAGTTTACTGGCTCTAAAAGTGAAACTGCTTACCTGTATCCAGGACCCCAATGGCCACACCCTGTACACAGATTAAAGCTGACAGTGACAACAGGGCTGTGCACCAGGGAACACCAACAGTAGCCACTGCAACAAGGGACAGCGTGTAGAACAACAATATCTGCTGGTCAAAGAAATCAAACAGGACCCCTCCGACCAATGAGCCGATCAGGAAGCCCACAGACCTGGCTGTGAATATGAAGGTCATGTGTTCTGTGTCTCGGTGAACTCTCCTGCCAAGTTCAAGGAGAGTTGGTCCAGGAATGGCAATGCACAACCCCTGAGAATGTGTAACAGAAACTAAAGTGAATGGGATCGCTTTTGAGAAACAAGGTCACACAAATATAATCAGTAACTTTCAGTAAAGTTAAAGGTGTACCGGGTATATTATGCTCATCTGATACTGTTTAGTGAGTTGAGTTAAAATCCAACATCATAGCACTTAGGAAACTCCCATAAAGGGTCCTTTCCTATATTCAGCAGCCAGTTCAGAGTTCCAGTTCCGATGTTCCAGTAATAGTTTGCTTTTATATCCAGGTTGCCTTTCCCCTGAGTGTAAAGTGTTAGCCAGAACCTTGGTCACTTCCCACTAAACCATTCTCTTCAGACCTTGGTGATCTGTGCCCCCACACTGTTCGCTTGCCCCCCAAACAGCCTTGACCACATCAAGCGCCCCCAAACAGCCTTGACCACATCAAGCGCCCCCAAACAGCCTTGACCACATCAAGCTTGTCACGCATCCCCACCAAAAGGTACAGAATAAACCAATCCATCTGCCTGTTCATTTCCCAAACACAACAAAATTCCCTGCAGAAAATATCCAGAAGATGCTAACCACCTGGGATTAAACTGTTATAGACCAGTCAGCACTCGCCGGCTGATGTGGTTAGAATTAAGTCAGAATCTTCTTAGAGCATTTTCCGGTCGCTATATTTAAGCTGGATCAACCTGTGAGCTCAAATCATTTTTGAAAACCTGCCCCAATGAGGATTCAAACATATGACTAGTGACTAGGAGGCAAAGTGTTAGTCACACAAAACAGCGGCCATCTTGAAATCTTTATGTATTTATTTAACTTTGCATTTTCTTCTTTTTTTTTTTCACCTGTTCACTGTCAGGGTAAGTTTTGGAACATGACTAGTAATGGTCATCTGAAGCCACAGTAGTAGACTCAATCATAAACAAACATTTCACAAGTTAACACAGGAAAACTATCAAAGTTTTGTAGAAATTTGGAAATTGAGTACAAGCCATTTATTTTACTTCACATAAAGTTTGGTTTTTAAAAAAATGTAAAGTTTGCACAAATCAACACCAACTGACCACACAAAAGTCAGCAAACATCAACACAAACTGACCACACTACAGTCAGCAAACATCAACACAAACTGACCACACTACAGTCAGCAAACATTAACACAAACTGACCACACAAAAGTCAGCAAACATCAACACCAACTGACCACACAAAAGTCAGCAAATATCAACACCAACTGACCACACAAAAGTCAGCAAATATCAACACAAACTGACCACACAAAAATCAGCAAATATCATCACCAACTTACCACACAAGTCAGCAAATATCAATACAAACTGACCACACAAAAGTCAGCAATCATCAACAAGAACTGACCAGTCAAAAGTCAGCAAACATCAACACAAACTGACCACATACAAGTCAGTAAACATCAACACAAACTGACCACACAAAAGTCAGCAAACATCAACACAAACTGACCACACAAAAGAATGCCAAAGAAAGAGCCACTGTTTTCAGCCCTTTCTTCTTCCACTGAACCTTGCCATGAGTCTGCCGCTTGTTGTGGATCAGCAGCTCACTCTGATCAAACAATGAATCCTCTTCTTCCTCTTCTATCATTTCCAGCTCATTACTCGACCATTTCTGGGAAAGAATTCACAATAATGTAAAAATTACTTCACAAAAAAATAAATGACAAATATCTGCAACACTCAAGAATGAGCGACAATCCTTTAGTTTCTCACTGTGTTTCAACAGTAAAAGTGTCAAAGGTTCTATTTCCAAGTGAACTTCTTAGCCTTATGTAGAAAAAATATTAGGCAGGAGAAAGATGGAGGGGTGGTGTGTGGGGGGGTCAATCTCTCCCCTCCAGGCTGCTACTTAAAGGTTTACCAAACCATGTGACTAAAACATCTCCATCTGGATGGCAGTCCAAAGAGAAACATACCCTGTTCAACTTCCAAGGAAATTATAATTAGGGCAGCCATAACAGCTACACCAAGCAGATGTAACGTGCAGTCCTATACGGGTAGACGAGAGAGTATGGGTACAGACGAGAGAGAGAGAGAGAGAGAAAGAGGGAGTTCTGTATGGGTACAGATGAGAGAAAGAGAGAGGGTCCTGTATGAGTTTGGATGAGAGAAAGAGAGAAGGTCCTGTAAGGGTAAAGACAAGAGAAAGAGAGAGGGTCCTGTAAGGGTACAGACAAGAGAAAGAGAGAGGGTTCTGTATGAATATGGATGAGAGAAAGAGAGAGGGTCCTGTAAGGGTAAAGACAAGATAAAGAGAGAGGGTCCTATATGGGTAAAGATAAGAGGAAGAGAGAGGGTTCTGTATGAATATGGATGAGAGAAAGAGAGAGGGTTCTGTATGAATATGGATGAGAGAAAGAGAGAGGGTCCTGTAAGGGTAATGACAAGATAAAGAGAGAGGGTCCTATATGGGTAAAGATAAGAGAAAGAGAGAGGGTTCTGTATGAGTATAGATGAGCGAAAGAGAAAGGGTCCTGTAAGGGTACAGACAAGAAAAAGAGAGAGAGAGTCCTGTAAGGGTAAAGACAAGAGAAAGAGAGAGGGTCCTGTAAGGGTACAGACAAGAGAAAGAGAGAGGGTCCTGTAAGGGTACAGACAAGAGAAAGAAAGAGGGTTCTGTATGAGTATGGATGAGAGAAAGAGAGAGGGTCCTGTAAGGGTAAAGACAAGATAAAGAGAGAGGGTTCTGTATGAGTATGGAAAAGAGAAAGAGAGAGGGTCCTGTAAGGGTACATACAAGAGAAAGAGAGAGGGTCCTGTATGGGTACAGACAAGAGAAAGGGTCCTGTATGGGTACTTATGAGAGAAAGAGATAGAGTCCTATATGGGAACGGACAAGAGAATTAGAAAGGGTCCTGTACATGTCAGGATGAAAGAAAGAGTGAGGGTTCTGTATAAGTACGGACGAGAGAAAGAGAGAGGTAGGTGTGGAAGACTGAAACAGCTAAACAATATATAATTTAAATTATGAGCAGCATCAGATTCACTAAAATACCAAAGAGGACTTCATCCCTAATAAGTCAACTTTTACTACAATACTTCTTAGTGGGGAGGAGGCAGTGGGTTATTTTTCTTGTTTCTCTTAATCTTCAATTTTTTTTTTTTTCACCCGAAGTCGAGTCTAGAAACCCACGGGAGAGGGGGGGGGGGAGATAATAATCGCATAATATAATATTGTAAATAAAAACGAAAGAATATGATCAATAAGGCAGAACGTCTATCAGTTATCACTATCACTATAATACTATCACTCTATGGGACAAGACAATCGCAATCCTGAGTGAACTGAATGTAGACAAGACATAATGATGGCAACAATCATTGATTTCTCACGCGTCGATAGAAATCTGACGTCAGGATAAAATGCTACTATCAACTATTAGCTTACCAACATGTTAGAAAGTCAGAGACATGTAAGAAATTCACAGAAAAGTTATCCCTTGTTGTCCATCTCTGCCTCGTCAGCTCGACGAGCAGACGACAAGGGGAGACCGCTCTTCTCAATCTACCCACATGCCAATTAATCATTTCCTTTGTGAATCATTTTATTTATTCACTTATATATTTATTTATTTCCTGTTAGAGTAGCCAGTTCTACAAAATAAACAGCAGAAGAAATATTTTCATTTGTTTTATGAAGGGTAGATATATAAGTATGAAATAATTACACCATCAGTGGTTTTAGTAAAAATAAACGTTGCGGAATGCATTCTTAAAGGCTTCCTGGACAGGTAAACAAACACCCACTTGTGAAAGGATGGCCTCCGTAAACAGTTCGTCTCCACTCAGTCTTTTCTACAGATATTTCCATTATACGCTGTCTTTGCTCGTAGTCGTTCTTGTCATTGTCACTTTTGGCAATTTTCAAGTTTTCATTTCAAAGCAAACGTTACATCAGTGGGATGGAGGTAGGTAATCAGTTGTATTATTACTGAATGAGTTGATTCAAGAAATCACAATCAATCACAGCACACGGGGAATTCCCATAAGCGCTCCGTTCCCATTTTCAGCAGCCAGTGAAGAGTTCCGATACTAATAGGGCCAGTAACATTCTGATTAAACGTCTTTCATTTCCTCTGAGCTTCGAGCATCAGTCTCACCAGTCGGCTATCCTCCGAATAACGGCCACATATTATGGTGGCCAAAAACACCCTGACAGGGCCTCAATCATTTGTAAATTGCGGACTTCTTCCGACGAACACATCGCAGCAAAACTAGGATGACTGTCCTTTGACAATTTTGAGAAACGCAACCATACATACGATAATAGCAACATGGCGAGGAGATCACGCGCTCAGACGCAGGTTAGCGATAGTGATCTTCCAATTAAACTCACCGCTGAGCTTATACCCCGCGTGGCGTGGATGGGGTAACTAGATGGCTGGGACTCACAAGCAGCAGCTACTGCATCTTCTGCGACTTCCTCTTATACCCAGTTATCAAGTTTAGCTTCCTATCCGCGTAGCATCGCGATAGATACTCTCGCCGGTGAAAACTGCGTTACCGATGCAGCACCAATCATATTTAGCTGAGTTGTAATGTTGCCACAGCCACAAAGAGCAGATTTTCGGGCACTATTTGCAACTTTTGAGCCACTATTTTCAGATATAAAGGCCTCAATTATCGCTAGATTGTCGATTTTGTCATTTTCCCTTTTTTCGTTCCTCATTATTTTTTAGTTCAAGTTTTTTTAATGTTCACAACACATGACCTAATGAGGCCCTGTTGGTATGTGTTTTTTGTCGCCATGATATGTGGCCGTTGTTCAGAGGATAGCCCACCAGACTGTGGTGATCCATCTGCTCCTCTGAACTGTACACGCTCTCCCATAAGGCACTAACTACATCTGCTTAATCATGCATCAGTATTCCACCAAGTTGTGCAGAGCCAGCCAGACTGTCCACCTGTTCATTTCCCAACCAACCAGTGTGTCCTAGTGAAAAAATCCAGACAATACTCCTCACCCGTATCCTCCGCAGTGAAGCCTGCCACTGCACGAAGAATGCCTGTCCTGACCTTCCTCAGCATGCTTTTTGAATCAGTTACTGTATTACTGTAAAGTACATTTTTAAAAAAATATTTATTATAGTAAAAGTAAACAAAACAAAAGCTCTTATGTAGCAGGAAGAACAGTGTAGCAGACTGAAGAACAGTTCTAATTGTGAGTTGATAGTCCGCTAAATCTGGACAATGAACAAGCAAGAGTTTCTGGAGATGTGGATATATAGAAGGATAGATTGTATATCGTGGAAACAGAAATAATACAGTTGTTCTGGAGAGACTTGGAATAAAAAAAATAGTTGATAGTTAACTGATGAAATACAAAAGAGATAAGGGAAATAGGTGCTTTCATAATATCCTATCCCAAACAGGGGAAATCCACAGGTCACAGGACAGTAATAGTTCAGGGGGTGGTAGATAGGCTGCATGCAGTCATGGGACCTAGTCTGCATCCAGTTGTGGAATCTAGGCTGCACTCTCTCGTGGGACGTAGGTGTTGGGGTTAGGGCCAGTTCTAGATGTTATGGGGTCGTTAAATACATCAGACAGCCTTAATTGGTATGACAGCAAAAGAGACGGATCGACTGTCCTCTCAGGTTAATTGTGTTTTGATTTGGGGACCATAATTTTACTTTGGCATTCACCATTTTATTTATTTATTTCTCAAATAGCCCCTTGTAAGGTGGGGGGGGGGGGGGTAAATCATCAATGCCAATTTTGTGCTTCAGTACAATTTTTAATCTTGTTTTTCTACTTCTGCCAGTAAAATTTATGTAGATAGTTTATATAAAATTATACACCTTCAGAAGAATGTCTTAAGGAAATCTCCAGTAAAAGTAAAGATCTATTTACACGCTATGGGCATTTGAGGCTACACTCATTTTATAGTCCAATCAGCCCTCGCTGGGTGATGTAGTCACCGTCATGCCGGTCACCTTTACTTCGAACAACTTAACCTGGTACCCAGTTAAGGGTGAGTCAGTCTAGGAGCCAAGGTCATGTATGAAGAATTCTCGGGTACATAATAAAGAAAGCAACGAGAACTTAGTGTCCACTACAGGAAGTATGAGAAAATAGTTTTGGCTGATTTGTTTGTGTGACATTAGACAAGGGAGTTGACTGGTAACCTGGCTTAATCTCATGTCTTTATCTTTTCACAGACATTCCAGTGTTGGTACGTTTCCTTGGAAACTGCTTCCTGTTGCTTGTTTTCATCATGCAACACAGTGTCATGGCAACTGAGTGGTTCAAGTCCAATTTGGCAACATGGTTGCAGATAAATGTGTCTGAGAGGTTGCTCTATGTGACCTGTACTTGCATCACACTCCTGGTAAGTCACTTCACACTTCTGGTGGGTCACTTCACACTCTTAGTGGGTTATGTCACACTTCTGGTGGGTCACTTCACACTCCTGGTTGGTCACTGATGGTTGATTGGGCGGTTGTGAGATTTTGGAAAACTGTGGGGTTGAAGACCTCTCTGAGGCCAACCCAGCCTCTTACAATTGGTACTGGACAGTCTGAGAAATATCTAAGAGTTTTTGACGAGGGAAAGACGGTGAGAAAAAGAGTGAACATGAAGAAGAAGACTTAAGCTGAAATTAGTTTGTAAATAACTTAGTAACCCCTGATTCACCCACACACAAAAGCTGGCTTTAGCACTGCCACTGCTGTCTTTAGGAATATTGTGTGATCAGTTTCCAGTCTCTTCTGTGACATGACTCTTGTATCACTGCCCCAAAACCATGAAAACAGTCCAGTTGTCATTTAAACACACACCCCCTCCCCCCCCCTCCCCCCCGCAGAAATCAAACCTTAACAATAGTATGTCAAGGACAGTGATATTATGACAGCGCAGTCACCTAACTCTTAGCTACACCTCTAATAAGTGTTTAAATTGCAGTCATATTGTATCTGTTTTTGAATGATTGAATAGCCTTTGTTGTGTTTTTGAATGATTGAATAGCCTGTTTTTTTGTTCATAATATTTCAGTTTCTGATCCTCTGGTGGCAGTCAATTCCGGAGACTTATCTGTGGTACATTGACACTGAGCAGCGTAGTTTCCTGTGGCTGTTCTTTTTTCTGCTGCACCTTGTGGGTTGGGTTGCACTCGGGCTTGAAGTGCTGATTATGGATTTTAGAGAAATGATTGGGGTTGATCAGGTATAGTTCATATCTAATAACATTTTAGGTATTTCTTCCTTTTTTTTTTTTTTAAATTGCTGCTGTTTCAATAAGGTTTTCACAAGTTGCCTGGTTGTATAGATGTCAAAAAGTAACACTCCCTGTTTCTGTAACTTCCTGATGTTTGTACAGGGATCTGACAAGGTCCTTTGGGGGCGCATAAGCAATGCTGAAGATCAAATAGATGATCACTGGGAAGGCTAACCCAGTCAGCAGAAGTCAGATGTGTTGACCCAAAGGCACAGATATCGCAGCCATGCTGTAATGGACACAGTGCAATTATATCTTCGGATGAATGCAGAAGAAAAATAAGAAATAGATGATCATTGTTTGGAGAGAATGGTGCTGCGAGGAATTACATGGAATCTGGGGAACACTCAGAGAAATGGCCAGAGGAACAGACAGGGCTACTGCTGGTTCTGAAACTCTGCCCTGGCTGCTAAAGATGGGGACAGACCACTTATGGGAATGCTGTAATGTCAATTCTTAGCTCAGCTGATAATTGTCTGGGCCCAAATGATCAACATAGTGGTCTGGCTTGTGTTGACAACACACTACCCTGAATTCAACCCCCTAGTTGTTACCTTTCCTTTGGAGGTAACCAAGCAGGCCAAGAGAGGGATCATGCTGCCTGGGCCACACTAGGTCTCTAGAAAACTGTCCAAGCTTGTGCTTTGAGAAAAGGAACTTCATCCCTGCTTGTAATTGGTTTTGTCGTGGGCGGTGATTTGTATGCCTCTCTAAAGTACAATTAAACATTATCATCTGAAAAGACAAAATGGTGCTATCAATTTCAATCATAAATTACTTCAATTATTAACATTTCTTTTTCATTTGTGCTACATATGCAGTTTTTTTTAATTTGGTTTGTTTGACATTTACTAAATAATTTCAGTATTTGTTGCTAGTTGTACGTATATTTACATATTTGGGACAAGTATCTGGCATGTGGATAACATCAGATGGAAGATGCATAACTGAGATAAGAAACAGAATAGGACAGGCAAAAACTGCATTTTATCAAATGAAGAACATCTTATGCAATATATCTCTGTCATTGATGGTTAGAAAAAGAATTTTTGCTTGCTACATACATCCAGTTTTAACATATGGTTGTGAGTCCTGGACAATCGGTAGGCAGGCCAAACAATTTCATTAGGCCTCAGAGATTTGGTTTAACAGAAGAATACTTAAAATACCTTGGACAGCCAAAAAGAGCAACCACGAGGTTTTGAAAGAGGCAGAAGCCCGAAGACTACTTATCACAGACATCAGAAGGAGACAGACGTCATTTTTCAGCCATGTTATGAGAAGAGGGTAAATGGAACATGTTTTGACCATTGGAAAGATCTGTGGAAGGAGGGATAGAGGAAGACAATGAGAGAAGTTTCTTGACAGTCTATGGCATTAAGGTGTGTCAGCACACAAACTGATAAATTCTGCAGGAGACCACAGATTGTGGAGAGGCATAACCGCCCACGCCAGTCGGCAAGGCACCTGATGAAGCAAAAGGCTTGTCATGTTATCTGCAAATTTAACATGACCAAATGGCTTGTGACATTATCTGCACATAAAACGTGATGAAGAGACTTGTCACCTAAGAAAGCTTACCATGAATATAGGCAGATAAATGTAATCTTGATTTTCTGCACAGGTTTATCGATATTACAACCATCAGAACCCTCTGTTACTGAGGAGAGCAAGGAAGCTGAGAGAGATCTACTCTCGAATGAGACATCCTGGTGCTGTCATTCTAACAACCCTGCTCTGGCTGCATCCACTGATGACCCTGGATCGTCTTATTCTTGCATGCACTTTGACCTCTTACACAATTGGCCATCATAGTTTTGATGAATCTCATTATGAATTTGCAGAGAAATATTTCACGGTGCAGTTCTCGGAGACAGTGCACAAGTCTTATACAAGAAATCAACATTCATAGTAATTTTACTGGGGTCCTTCCTTCTTTTCTTTCTTCTTTATTTTTACAGCAAACAAATTAAGCATCGATATGAATATCTTTTTTGAGCAGTTTTGACTTCAGCTGTAAATATATTTTATCGACACATTTTCAAGTTTTGCCTCTACACCTACTGTTCACTATTTTCAACTTCCAAGAGTTTTTAATGTTTGACGTGCATACGGGAGCTCCTGTTTTTCACCCTTGACAAGAAGGCGAGGCAGCACAACAGACAAAGTGCTCATACCTGGTGAAATTGATTCAGCCATGGGTAGATAACGATTCTGGGTGATGTTCGTCTTGTACACAACAGAACAAGCAGACTTTCACTCTGGTTACAACTTCATCATAAGAATTCTTTATTGACTGCTTAACGAGGTGACAGAGCACCTTTGGGAATTCCTAAGTGCACTGATGTTAGTACATGACTCATTTGTTGATGCTTCTGATGTTAGTTCATGGCTCATTTGTTGAGGCTTTATTCTATGGACACAAAAGCTGTCAGTTATAAAATAGGGAAATGTCAATAGTTCTCTCTGATGAGAGAGAAAAAACATCAGTCACAAAATATGTTGGCTGCATTAAGAGATGTGACACTTGTATAAACGTCACATTAGAACTGAGTTAAGAATCAACATCGTAGCATTCAGGACATTCCCATAAGCATTCTGTCCCCATCTTCAGCAGCCAGTGATAGTGCTAATTCCAATATTACCAGTAGCTGAATGATTATACATCCATCTTGCCTTTCCTCTGAGTGTTGAGTTTCAGCCAGATCCCCTCGTCATTTTTGGCCGCATCTTTCTCTTCATACTTTAATGATCTATTTGTACCTCCACACTGTTCACTTGCTCCCATTTGGCCTTGACAACATCTAGCTTACCAGGCTTTGTTGTACTAAGCGACATCCATTCTTTTTTGCTGTGAAACCCCCGTGCACTTCTCATGGCGATTAGTAGAGGAACTTTGAAGTAGCTGCTGCTTCGGAGGACTGAGCACCCATTGGATTGCCCAGTGTACGATAAAGTTGATTGTCATAATTTCATCTGCCTGTCAACACAGAGCCATCTATATAGATTCACATCGGCATGGTGGAGTTGTCATGAATCAGTTGAACATCTGATTCTGCATCACCCGCCTACTGCCCCATCACTGCACCCAGGGACCAGTGTAATGAGAGCCCTACACAAATCTGATTGTTGCCTGGCTGCTTTGACCCAGTGCTCTGACCGACTATTCTCTGTTACACTAGAGGGGGAAAACTTTGGGCAGACAAGCAAGAGATGGTCAGGGAGAGACACTTGAAGATCACTTCAAGAGATAAACTAACTTAATGAAGGTCAGAGATGACCTAACTTGTAGAAGAGAACTTCCAGAGTCAGAAATGACCTAACTTGTAGAAGGGAACTTCCAGAGTCAGAGATGACCTAACTTGTAGAAGGGAACTTCCAGAGTCAGAGATGACCTAACTTGTAGAAGGGAACTTCCAGAGTCAGAGAAATGATGATGACCCATTCCATCCGATCTGTGTTGTATAGGTGGAACTTGATTGATTAGCTCTTTTCTGCTGGGATATATAATTTTACAAAAATCATCATCATGTAGCAGGTCTTTTGCAGAACGTCTCTCTCATCACAGTCTGCCTGAAAAAAACTCGGTCTCTCGTCAGTTCTCCTGCCTTATGTACTTTCATACTCAAGGAGTCACTTTTATCATGTGCCCCATCTTCGTGTCGGTCGGTCCCCGCTCCTCCTTCCTGGTACCATGCTATCTGCTATAATTTTTTCTAATCCGTCGTGGCACTTGATATGACCAAAATATTTCAGCTTCCGAGATAGGATGCTGTTTATTAGCCAATCTTCCTTGATGTTCAGATCTTTCCAAAATACATAGTATAAATAGGTGACTATCACTGTAAATATATTAACACATATATATCTGCATTATTGTGTTGAATGTAAAAGACATGTATTTTCATGTTTTGACTGTATATTACGGGCCATTTATTTTATACAACCTGTATTCTTCTTTACATATGTGTGTGTGGTATAAACCATTAGCTGTGTTGTGCTCAGCAAACTGCCTGTTACTGCGGCTAGGTAACATATATATATATATATATATATATATATATATATATATATATATATATATATATATATATATATACTTTAGCTTGTGTTAGATAAGAATATAAAAACATGTACTTATATAATAAAATGTATGTTGTTTCTTAATGTCTGCATGGCTTTTTCTTTTTATTTTAAATTAATTTGATTGATTGTGTGGTTGAGATTAATCTGTGTGACAGAGCTGTAACTGTTGAAATCTAGTGCATTAAGATTGAAGTCTGAGGTCTAAACTGGTATCTTCCAGAGTGAGATTGACTGAGAAACCTTCTTCTTGCCCTGGTTGTGAACCATTATCTCCATGAGACTGTTTTAAAGAGCTCTCACTTCCCTCTAAAAGCTCACAATCCAATGAAGCATTTAAGACATTAGAATTTAGCATCTGCTGAGTCCCTGTGTGGATTTCGGGGCCCCATTTCTGAGAGGAACAAGAATAGAGTCCCTACCCTCTAACAAGCATGTTGTACAATACAACTAATTAGGGATGTTTCTCGTAATGTCAGAGTGCATCTGCCTGAGTCACAAGAAACCAAAAGTCTGCAGACAAAAGCCAGATCTGCACACATCTGTGAATATGCTCACAAAAGTAAAGTTCTGGAATTATAATGAAAGTCCAGAAAGGGATGAACAACCAGAACTTTCCAATGGACTTTACAGCCTGTGAACACTAAAGAAGATAGTTTGCTACTGCTTTCCTTTTTTGGCAGTAACCATACGGATCTGGTGACTGTAGAAACTGTCACTATAATGTGATCCTCTGTCCACGGTCAGGGACAAGCTGCATCGTAAAGCTATGTTTGGTCACCCTAGAATATGTGAAAGATGTGTGATCACTTCATACATCCATGGTGGTCGTCACTATTGGACTACCTTTATCAACTAAGGAAGCGTGAGTTTTAAGTGCACATCCTCTTTACAAATGTGGGATATTTGTATACAGACTGTTGTTCCTTGCCCTACAAGCAGATGCCCACCGAGGAAACTTCTAATTAGTCAACTCTGATGACATACTTGGAAAAGCAGTGGGTCTGTTTATATTGTTCTCCCCCCCCCCTCTTTTTCCCAACAGTGGAGCCCTGGAACCCACACAAGGAATGTTGAACGTACAACCCTTCTTCTCTCTTGTTTTGTGTTCACGTGAGCGAAAATGATGCCAGTACGTTCATTGTTTAACAACGCCTGTATGGCGTCCTAAATAAATCTAAACCGACGTTTGAAATCGGGTAAAAGTAAAAGTCCCTTTTCCACGCCTTTAGGCGTATAGTACTAGACCTATATTAGTTATAGACTGATCGGCACAGGATAGGAGATGTGGTCAGCATCACACCGGCCGCCTTTATTTTCCTGAACTGCGCCCAGTACCCACTTGAGGTTAGGAGTCAAGGTAATTCTTTTCTTTTAAACTGGCTCCGCCAGAGAGCTAGCCCACGATCCGCACGCGAGCATCAGCCGCTGACTGACTGACTGACTTTCTACCCCACCAGGACATCACACAAGCGATAAACACCCGATGACACAAAGTGCCACCATGCGGATGAGGATCGCCGTGGAGAGGTCCCAGAAACCGCGTTCAGACATTTGGCCATATGTATGGCCTGCCTATATTGCGGCCCCCGGCAAAAGCCAGAGCAGGGCTTCAAATGACAAAAAATTTCGTCCTGAAAAGGACGAAACTTAATAAATATCAACGTTAATCAGCCGCTATGCCACTGCGACTTTCCTTTCAATCGGGTATCCCAAATAAAGTGGTGTTCAAATCTCTCATCGGCCTTGAATGAATGAGGAATGAAGTTCAACCTCACCAGGACTGGACAACGAGCGATAAACACCAGATGAGACAAAGTGCCACCATATGGATAAGAATTACCCCGGTGCAAGCCCTGATCCCCCGACAACAATTGGGATGGGAATTTATAATTTAAAAAAAAAAAATTATAAAAATTGCGTCACACATTGAGACAGGGGAAATTACTGTTGATCTAAGAATTGATATTAATTATTACAGCACTCGCGACATTCCCATAAGTGTTCAGTCTTCATCTTCAGCAGCCAGTGAAGAATTCAAACTCCTATGGTGCCAGCAGCAGTTTAAATTCCGTCTCCATCACCCCCCTCCCCTCTCCCCCTTTTCTGGTCACTCCCAGATGTACCACTGTCTCCAGACCATAATGATCCATTAGTACCTCCACATTTTCACTTGTTCTCGCATTGGCCACATCTAGCTTGTCATGCATACATTCACCGCTCATTTGTGTTGAACCACCCAATCTGTCTGCATGTTCATTTCTTAATACGCCTTCACCATTCGAGAAAATATCCACAGAACGCTGACCACCTTAAACGATACTTGCCACTCTGCACGGAGTATGCCTGTCAGCGTTTCTTAACATGCATTGGAAGTCGTTTATAGTCACATGTGTGTACAGCTGACTCTCAAACCAGCGGAAAGCTGATATGACTGCCTCCACCTTTCCCCGCCTGCTTTTTTATAACTATTCTCAAACTCATCATCCTCATCATGTAACAGGTCCTTTGTAGAACGTCGCTCTCATCACGGTCTGTCTCAAAGAGACTCAGTCTCTCGTCAGCTCTTCCGCGTCATGCACTTTCATACTCAAGGAGTCACTTATATCCTGTGCCCATCTTCGTGTTGGTCGGCCCTTGTCCCTCCTTCCTGTTACCATGCCCTCTGCTATAATTTTTTTCCAATCCATCGTGGCGCTTGATATGACTAAAATATTTCAGCTTCCGAGACAGGATGCTGTCGATTAGCCAATCTTCCTTGATGTTCAGATCTTTTAAGATGTCAGTATTTCTATTCTTTTTTGTCCAAGATATTCTGAGAATCTTCTATAGCATTTCAGCTCAAACGCCCCTATTCTCTTGGACTGGGAGATAGTCCATGACTCACATCAGTATGTTGCTACAGGAAAGATGCATGCTCTACAAATTATAATCTTGATCTCCTTGCTGGTGCTTAACCATAGACTTTTTAGGCTGTTTAATCTTTGGATTGCTATGGCAATCCTCATTTTAATTTCTGTCAAACTTCCATGATGAGTTTCTTGGGATAGTAATGTGGTAGTTTCCCGTTGTTTTCGACATCCACATAGCTTTAGTCTACGTCCTCAGCCTTCAGCAACCTTTTCAATTGCTAGGGCAAGTGAGTTTCCTCCTCTGTGATGCTCCTGCTAACAGCAGAGGGCACCACAGAGATGTCCACTTATCCGGATACTCGCTCCCCATAGCTGCGTTGACCACACCGCAGTGTGTTTACCATCCTCTACCGCGTGGAGGTGCAGTTAGGGGTTTTCCTTCACTTTTTGAGACCTTGTTGCACTGAACGTAATTTCTATGACTCAAAGATTATCGACAAGTACTTAAAATTTGATCCGCTTCAACTCTTGCTGCGTGTCATGCACTAATTAACCACATGGAATGCAGAACCAGCCAGTACGTCTCCGTGTTCTTTTCCCAGTGCACCTACGTACCCAATAGAAACAAATTTAAAAGACGCTAAATACTTGGAATGTCTGAAGCTTGCCACCCGGCGCAGAGCATGCCATTTTCAGCATGCTTGTGCGTCTGTCATAATCATATCATTTCTCGAGCCAGTAGAAAGCTGCTGTGACTTCGATTATAATTGATATCGAAACGATTGCACGGAACGAAGGAAAATGTGGCGAGAACTGTGTAACGTACACCGGCACAATAGGATAATTATATATTTGGTCAGGAACGCTGAAAGAACCTGGTCACGGCGTCTTGCTGGAGCCGTCTGCATGCGAATCTGTTGCAGGACGCTGCAAGTTTTCTCACAGATCCTGACTCTGGCGGTATTTTTCTTGAATATAACTATAATGTCGAGGGGTGGAAAGACACTATCCAGGCCCTAATTAATGTAGCAGGTCGGATATCTGAGATTAACATAATCTATATGAGGCAACATGGTTAGTTGCGTATCCTTTACAGGACGTTGCAGAACCAACCCAGACAGCCCTGGCTGTTGTGTGGTTTTTCTAGGCAAAATTACGTCCAGTAGTTTTGGTCGACTTTCTTGATACCACTGTCGAAACCAACGCATGGCCCTCACCTGGGATAGAACCAGGCATCCTGGCATTACGAAGCGTTCGCATCGACTTAGCCACAGAACCGACATGAGGCAACATACTTATATTTTCCACGGAATTGATTGATTTGTTTTCTTGATTCTGAAAGTAAAACTATATTATATATAGTTATGGGTAACTGTTTTGCCGCCTGTATTTACTACATTTTAAGGCGGGTACAAAAGGTATAGGGATTGTGAGCTGTTGCATGGCTAGTGCAGTTGCCATGAATTGTGCAGATTATAATTTCCAGGACACCCCCCCCCCCCCCAAGTCTAATCTTTACCAAGTATCAAGGTCTTCCTGAGCATTTACCACACAATCAAAGGGACCATAAGATGTCAGATACATGTAGCATTGAAAGGTTTTAGTCTGTATGAATCACATTAATTATTTAATATAATTTATCGCTGTCCTTGATGAAAATTGATGTTCGCACCTAAATTTTGAGTCTAATTGTGTGTAATCACAGTGTTGGATGAGGTCAGGTTATGAGTGCAGCGACCATTTCCAGGGCAAGTGCCACCAAGTTGATGGTCGTGAAATCTGCAGACGGAGGTGGCAACTTAACAACAGCAACAGTGTGCCTAGCTACACACAGTCATGATGGCTTCCAACACTCTGAGCTGTCTGATGTCCTTGAGGGACCACAGTCCCAGTTACCACAAAGAGGCTCTTCTGCCGAGTCCTGCAGGCTGGAGGACCAGTTCCAGGTGATTGTTTATATCTGTGAGCTGTGGTCGGGCACTTGTTTATAGACTATGTTGTTCATATCTGTGGTTAGGCACTGGTTAGTAGACTAGGTTGTTCATATCTGTGGTCGGGCACTGGTTTATAGACTAGGTTGTTCATATCTGTGGTCGGGCACTGGTTTATAGACTAGGTTGTTCATATCTGTGGTCATGCACTGGTTAGTAGACTAGGTTGTTCATATCTGTGGTCGGGCACTGGTTTTTAGACTAGGTTGTTCATATCTGTGGTCGGGCACTGGTTTATAGACTAGGTTGTTCATATCTGTGGTCGGGCACTGGTTTATAGACTAGGTTGTTCATATATGTTGTCGGGCACTAGGTTGTTTATATCTATGGTTGGGCACTGGTTAGTACACTATGTTGTTCATATATGGTTGGGCACTGGTTAGTAGACTAGGTTGTTCATATCTAAGATCAGGCACTGGTTAGTAGACTAGGTTGTTCATATCTGTGATCAGGTACTGGTTAGTAGACTAGGTTGTTCATATCTGTGGTCGAGCACTGGTTAGTAGACTAGGTTGTTCATATCTGTGGTCGAGCACTGGTTAGTAGACTAGGTTGTTCATATCTGTGGTTGGGCACTGGTTTGTAGACTAGGTTGTTCATATCTGTGAGCTTTGTTTGGCGACTGGTTTGTAGCCTAGGTTGTTCATATCTGTAAGCTGTGTTCGGGAACTCGTTAGTAGACTAGGTTGTTCATATCTGTGAGCTTTGTTCGGGCACTGGTTAGTAGACTAGGTTTTTCATATCTGTGAGCTGTGTTCGGGCACTGGTTAGTAGACTAGGTTGTTCATATCTGTGAGCTGTGTTCGGGCACTGGTTAGTAGACTAGGTTGTTCATATCTTTGAGCTGTGTTCGGGCACTGGTTAGTAGACTATGTTGTTCATATCTGGGAGCTGTGTTCGGGTACTGGTTAGTAGACTAGGTTGTTCATATCTGTGAGCTGTGTTCGGGCACTGGTTTGTAGAATAGGTTATTCATATCTGTGAGCTGTGTTCGGGCACAGGTCAGTAGACTAGGTTGTTCATATCTGTGAGCTGTGTTCGGGCACTGGTTAGTAGACTAGGTTGTTCATATCTGTGAGCTGTGTTCGGGCACTGGTTAGTAGACTAGGTTGTTCATATCTGTGAGCTGTGTTCGGGCACTGGTTAGTAGACTAGGTTGTTCATATCTGTGAGCTGTGTTCGGGCACTGGTTAGTAGATTAGGCTGTTCATATCTGTGAGCTGTGTGGGCACAGGTTAGTAGACTAGGTTGTTCATATTTGTGAGCTGTGTTCAGGCACTGGTTAGTAGACTAGGTTGTTCATATCCGTGAGCTGTGTTCAGGCACTGGTTAGTAGACTAGGTTGTTCATATCTGTGAGCTGTGTTCGGGCACTGGTTAGTAGACTAGGTTGTTCCTATCTGTGTTTGGGCACACTCAGTATTCTGTAATCTGCTTGTATTACTGTTTATTTTCAGGCAAGTGGAACTTTGATGACAGGAAATGTCAGCAGACGTGAGCTTCCACCATATTCCCTGCTGTTGTACAGACCAGGACCTGCCTCCTCCATGGAACACCCTCCTTTAATGTAATGTCACTGACCTGATTGTTTTATTTTCATGTTTTACTTATATGTCAATGGACAGCTTGCCACAAATGTAACCAAATGGCTAGTTTTACAAATCGTGCTAGTTAAACTGCGCCAGAAACAGGACTGACTGTTGTCAAGCTGATACTAGAAACTGAATAAACATAAAGTGTTTATTCCTGGGAATCTTCCCCTTGCGGCTTCTGGGGGCCCATTTTAGAGAGGGGTGGGTAGGGGAATAGACCCACTTCCCCCAACATACATGTTGTAAGAGGCGACTAGCTAAGAATTAGCTGGATTCGGATGTATTAGTCTGAAAGGCATAGATGTCCCAGCCTAGCTGTGAACCCCAACACAACTTGCCAACTACTCATGAAAGAGTAAACACAAAAGAAGTGGGACGCTCAGAGAACAGACAAATTCACACATTAACAAACCAGTTTTCAATCATTTTTCTATATCAGAGAACAAGAACACAACAACAGTACTTGTCCACTCCTGTTGTTGCAGTGGACAGATGGTGCTGACTTCATTTTCCTGTAGACCAGTCATTGCTGGATGGCTCCTGTGACCAGTGTCATTGCAAAAATATGTGTTCTAAACATTTTAAAATGTGTGTGAGAAAAGGGGGGGGGGGGAGATTTTCGCATCATGCACTATATAAAACATTTCTTGGTAGCTGTTTTAGGCTGGGATCTGAGGTCTTTACAAGGATCCCTTCATTGACAGAGATTAGAAATTGTGACCACAGTGTTGCCAACAGACAATCACTGTACAGCCGACATGACTACAGTGCCAGCAGACATGCTGTACAGCAGACATGACCACAGTGCCAGCAGACATGACCACAGTGCAAGCAGACATGGCCACAGTGCCTGCAGTCATGGCCACAGTGCAAGCAGACATGACTACAGTGCCAGCAGACAATCACTGTACAGCAGACAAGACCACATTGCCAGCAGACAATCACTGTACAGCAGACATGACCTCAGTGCCAGCAGACAATCACTGTACAGCAGACATGGCCACAATGCCAGCAGACAATCACTGTACAGCAGACATGGCCACAGTGCCAGCAGACAATCACTGTACAGCAGACATGGCCACAATGCCAGCAGACATAACCACTGTGTCAGCAGACATGACCACTGTGCCAGCAGACAATCACTGTACAGCAGACATGGCCACAGTGCCAGCAGACATGACCTAAGTGCCAGCAGACGATTACTGTACAGCAGACATGGCCACAATGCCAGCAGACATAACCACTGTGTCAGCAGACATGACCACTGTGTCAGCAGACATGACCACAGTGTCAGCAGACAATCACTGTACAGCAGACATGGCCACAATGCCAGCAGACAATCACTGTACAGCAGACATGGCCACAATGCCAGCAGACATAACCACTGTGTCAGCAGACATGACCACAGTGCCAGCAGACAATCACTGTACAGCAGACATGACCACAGTGCCAGCAGACAATCACTGTACAGCAGACATGACCACAGTGCCAGCAGACATTACTACAGTGCCAGCAGACAGTCACTGTACAGCAGACATGACTACAGTGCCAGCAGACAATCACTGTACAGCAGACATGACCACAGTGCCAGCAGACAATCACTGTACAGCAGACATGGCCACAATGCCAGCAGACAATCACTGTACAGCCGACATGACCTCAGTGCCAGCAGACAATCACTGTACAGCAGACATGACCACAGTGCCAGCAGACAATCACTGTACAACCAACATGACTACAGTGCCAGCAGACAATCACTGTACAGCAGACAAGACCACATTGCCAGCAGACAATCACTGTACAGCAGACATGGCCACAGTGCAAGCAGACAATCACTGTACAGCAGACATGACCACAGTGCCAGCAGACAATCACTGTACAGCAGACATGACTACAGTGCCAGCAGACAATCACTGTACAGCAGACATGGCCACAGTGCCAGCAGACAATCAATGTACAGCAGACATGGCTACAGTGCCAGCAGACATGACCACAGTGCAAGCAGACATGACTACAGTGCCAGCAGACAATTACTGTACAGCAGACATGGCCACAGTGCCAGCAGACAATCACTGTACAGCAGACATGGCCACAGTGCCAGCAGACAATTAATGTACAGCAGACATGGCCACAGTGCCAGCAGACAATCACTGTACAGCAGACATGAGCTCAGTGCAAGCAGACAATCACTGTACAGCAGACATGGCCACAGTGCCAGCAGACAATCACTGTACAGCAGACATGGCCACAGTGCCAGCAGACAATCACTGTACAGCAGACATGACCACAGTGCCAGCAGACATGACCACAGTGCCAGCAGACATGGCCACAGTGCCTGCAGTCATGGCCACAGTGCAAGCAGACATGACTACAGTGCAAGCAGACATGACTACAGTGCAAGCAGACATGACTACAGTGCAAGCAGACATGACCACAGTGCCAGCAGACAATCACTGTACAGCAGACATGACGACAGTGCAAGCAGACATGGCCACAGTGCCAACAGACATGACCACAGTGCCAGCAGACATGGCCACAGTGCCAGCGGACAATCAGTGCACAACAGACGTGATCACAGTGTCAGTAGGCAGTCATTGCAACACTGCATGACTACAGTTTAGGGGGCAATCATTGCACAGTAGGCTTGACCACATTGTCAACAGTCAAGCGTTCTAGCTTATACTACGACAGCTTCCATGTGATTGTGTGTATGTATATATGTTTGTGTGTGTGTAAAGAAATATTTGTGTCAACAGTCTGTCCCCAGCCATTGACGGGACCAGTGTTTCATACCTCGCTGACACACTCACTGACCGGTCTTTGCCACATTCCCAACTTTTTGTCACAGCCAGCGCCTCTATTACACCTCCAGTTGGGGGATCTATGGCTTCCAGCACCCACAGTGTGGATCCAGCATGGTGGGTCATGTTTTCGGAATAGACTTATACTTTAACTTCACACTTGATTGGACCACCCTTTTATAATCATTGTTTAGTTGGTATTGTACATGTTTAGTTAATAATTTTAGGTAAAAAGTGTTGAGGTAAGCCAACAAGTTAATAATTTGCCAGTTTTGTTATGTTATTACAATTGATGTCACTGCACATTGGACGTTCCCATGCGTGCTCAGTCCTCGATGCAGCAACCACTATAAGGTACTTCTACTAATTGTTTCCATGAGATGTTGGTTATAATGTCTCCTGCTTCATGCGTCTTCTCACATGCGTTGGTGCATTGCTTGCCAGTTGGTCCGCTGGCTCATTACCATTTGCGTCCACATGACCAGATGTGCGGGGGAGGTTAAGGGTGATTTTCCTATGCTTTCTACCCATTCAGGGTGCATAACACCATGTACAGACCTATTGCTTTCTTCTAAAGCACGTTCATGGAGTCTGATACAATTGCTGCTGAACGTAGGCTGTACTTTGTTGCTGCCTTGACATGTTCAAATTGAGAACACCCACCCCTACATTAGAATATTTATACCACCAAGGTTTCCCGTATCTGAAATAGAAGTTTTATGGGAAGTCACAACAATTAGGTGTTGTGTATAGAGGAGAAGACACAGACAACTATAATAAACCCAGTAAATCATCACCCAGTCTCCCTTGGTAAAACCTCGCTTCAGGATGTGGAGTCATTCTCATAATTTGGCAGCACTGTAGCCTTAAAAGTCTATGGTTAAGCACCAGCAAGGAGATCATAATTAGAATTTTGAGAGCATGCCATCTTCCCTGTGGCTACATATGGATGTGAGTCGTGGACTATCTCTCAGTCCTTAAGAAAGAGAATAGGGGCTTTTGAGCTGAAATCCTATAGAAAGATTCTCAGAATATCTTGGACAAAGAGGAGAAATACTGACATCTTGAAAGATCTGAACATCAAGGAAGATTGGCTAATAAACAGCATCCTGTCTTGGAAGCTGAAATATTTTGGTCATATCAAGCGCCACAGTGGATTGGGAAAAAATATAGCAGAAGTCATGGTACCAGGAAGGAGGGGCAGGGGCCGACCGACACGAAGATGGGCACAGGATATAAGTACCTGAGGCGGGAGAGCTGGCGAGAGACAGAGTTTCTTTGAGGCAGACTGTGATGAGAGCGACGTTCTGCAAATGACCTGCTACATGATGATGTAGACAATGTAGAAGAGGGCGGGCTGGATTCCCAGAAGTGAGGCCCCAAAAGCTGCATTGGGAGGACAGTTAATGAGTCTGTTATTTCGAGTTTCCAGGTACTGTCCCATATTTTGTTTCCAGGTTACAGGTGCTGTCTCTTGTTTTGTTTCCAGGTTACAGGTGCTGTCCCATATTTTACACACATCCTCCTCGGATGGGAATAAAGGAGCGGGATATGTCCCAAATAGTTCTACTGTCTCAGATACTCACCCTTCTACTGGGTGTCCTATATTGAGACCATACCCTGTGATCACAACACCAACTGGAGGTCTTGATCTCATGGAGACCAGCCGGGATAAGATGGAAGCTGCCACAAGTATCTCCCTGACCAGACAAGAGGGTCAGCTGACAGCACCTGTTGGGAGAGGTCAGTTATCCAGCTCTGCGTGGTTTAGTGTCCATAATGTGTCTGTCTCAAGAAATGAGATATTGTGTCATTTGTACTATGAAAACCTTATTGTGAACTGTATAGTTTATTATCTTTCCTCACCATGACTGCTTAACTAATGACATCTGTGTAAGCAGTCTGGTTGTAATGTTGCAGTGTTTGACAGCTGTATATTTAGACTAATTATTTATGTGCTATACACATCGATAGCCAGTCACTTGGTTGGCACCTTTCCCTCTTTCCAGACAACATTGTTATGGTGTGCAATAAGGAGACGTGTGAATCACAGCTCATGGCAATGGAAGAAGTTCCCCCATCCCTAAAACAAAGCCTGGCCAGTATTTTAGAGACCTTATGTTGCCCACACAGCATGACGCCTCTCTTGACCTGCCTTTTACTCCACAGGAAAGGTAACACCAATACAAAGCACACTGCAGAAGGGGCTAGATCATAAAAGCAGTGCCCTGTCCGTCCAGCTGTCAGATTTTCCCTCCTACACTAGCCACTGACCTGTTCTGCCTTAACATTAAGTTTTCAGGTAGCATTTCTTTTTTTCTAGGTTCAGGTTACTATCCTCCCCAGGGCCATTTTTCTTATGGTCTGAAGCGCCGGCACCATTTAAAAAAAAAAATACATGAGAGTAACAGGATCTTTTTTTTAGGCACAAGGAAAGTACTGGCACCTTTGTTTTCTAGGGAGGAAAGCCCTCATCCTCCCCATTGTGCTCCTGGAGCCATTGGCGCCGTGGGGGATGTCAGGTTTGGTATAGGCTGCCCGACATTAGGCATTGACAAAGAACAGGTAATTCTAACAATTGTTATGTGGTAGCTCAGTCATATCTGACCTGTCGCATGTGAGAGACACTGAACGCTACGCATGATGTAGAGCCAGTTATATATGGCCCACTGCTGGTGACAGAATTAGTCAACTTCTATATTTCTTCAGTACGTAAGATGATATGTTTTCTGGCATTTCAAAAGTTTAAAACTGGGAGACTTGGAATGTTTAAAATATTTTGTGTGTGGATATTTGGCTACATGAGGGTGTCTTACACACAGAATAATGCAGTAATTGTGTGCTGACTTAAGCATTGAGATAGTTCTATTTATTTTACTTCTTTGATAGATGAGGCTGTTGTCTCACCACCTGTGTCTGGGCAACTGGATGACCATTCTCACCCTGAGTTCATCCAGACTTCTGTAAAGGTTTGTGCTCATTTTGGAAAGGGGGGGGGGGGGGTGATGTCATTTGTTCAGTTGTAGCATGTTTACATTTGTATAGGCTGGACAGTAGACAAGCAGACAGATTAATAGAGAACTCCAGAGATGGATACAAAGAATGATGCTGTCTCCACAATGGAAGTTGGCTTCATTGTATTCACTCCTACCTTATGTGTGAGGCCCCAGTCGCTTCCATGGTGCAACTCTCATACCACTGTCTCAAAGCCACATACAACAGCTATTAAGAGATGAATACCCAACTTGCTAATTATAAATGCAGTACTGTGATGCAAGTTCTTTATTGATTGGTGTCTGCCTAACTTGAAGACCAGGTCACACTGTTTGGCAACTCGTTGGCTGGAGCTGTTATTCAATCAATCAGCTACCATCTCCCCGATGGAGGTTGACTGTAATAAATCTCCAACACCTTCTGTCTCATGTCTTGGTTGTACACTCTTTCAGACTGCTGCTGTTGGTTTTTTTATTTTTTGTCCATCTCTTGATGTTGTCCTGCCACATGCATCATTTTCTACCTTTTGCCCTCAGTCTTTCCCTCCAGTATGCTTTATCAAAGCGAGTTATGTCTTTAATGTGGCTAAAATATTTCAGTCGCTTTTGTTTAATTTCTTTTAGTATTTCTTTTTATTTGCAATTTTTCCAGAACCTCTGTATTTGATTGTTTTTGTTATCGTGCAAACAACCTATTCTTCTATATATCTACATTTCCATGAACTTATTTTGATTTTTCTAGTTGCCTATTCATGGTCCAACTGTCCCAGTGTGGGTTTCAGGACCAGATTTTAGGGTTCAAAAGAGGATAACCAACACCCCTCCCCCCCCCCCCCCTTCCGCCCAATCAACAAGCATGTTGTAAAATCAACTAATAAGGTGTTTACTTTCAAGTCAGGAGTGCATCTGCCTGGGAGGCAAAGACACAAAAATCTGCATACAAGTAAGCCATTTCTGTAAAACAGATGTGCACGCATAACTCAAGTTCTGGAACAAGACTTAAGCCCAGAAGTGGACAAACAACTAGAACTCTCCGCTGAAGTTTACAGCTGGTGAACGCAAAGAAGAAGAAGAAGAGATTGTCCAAGTTTCTGCACCAAACATCAGGGTTGGTTGAGTAGACATAGCATTTGATGATTGGAGCTCTGACTGCCTGGCTTGAAATTGATTCCCTGACCTGTTCTATTGGTGTGATGTTCTGTCCTCATTACCCACCTCTTGGTTTCCAGTCAAGTGTTGTATTAGTTCATGTGTCGTCAGTTAATCACACTCCTAACTTCACAGTCAGTGGGTCACGCCTTCCCACCCCCCCCCCCCCCACCCCTATTGTTGCTCTGTTCCTTTGCCAATGAAAAGCATACAGAATGTCCATGACTGTCCCTTGTGAAAGAAACAGACTGCAAGCTTAGCAAATCCAACAGCATAAAACACACTTTAATGCATAAGGCAGCAGTCAGAAGTGCCGACACAAACAGTCTGACACAATTGTTATTTGAATCCCATGTGTCTCAGTATTTTGCAATAGCTTCAGTAATGTCAGCAACCCTTGTCATGCCTTGGGCACATCCAGCATATAGTGCTAGACTTATATTTTTTATAGACCAGTTGATGCTCGCTGCGGAATAGTGGTCAACATCACGCCAGCCCACGTTTTGTTTTTAAGACATTACCTGGTACCCATGTTAGGTTGAGTTCATCTGTAAGCCATATTAGGATCAGTCTATCTGGGAGCCATTATAGGATCGGTCCATCTGGGAGCCATTTTAGGATTGGTCCATCTGGGAGCCATTTTAGGGTCAGTCCATTTGGGAGCCATTAGGATTGGTCCATCTGGGAGCTATTTCAGGGTCAGTCCATCTGGGAGCCATTTAGGATTGGTCCATTTGGTACCCATTTTAGGCAAGGTCAGCCTGTTGCCTATTTTAGGCTGGGTCAGCCTGTTGCCCATTTTAGGCTGGGTCAGCCTGTTGCCCATTTTAGGCTGGATTAGCCTGGTACCAATTTAGGCTGGGTCCAACTGGGAGCGAAGATATGTTTGGAAATAAATCTATCTGGATGCAAATTTGAACCCTAGTCATTCAGATGAGCGCCTGGACACTGCAAATCCCTGACAATAACTTAAGTATGGTTAATGTGTAATTTCTTGATTCCAGACATGCTGACTGAAACTCTGTCGAAACCAGACAGTTGTTGTTCTTATGTAATTTCTGATAGAGAAACATTTGGTTATTTCCAAATATATTTGCCTGTTTTTTTAATCTTTTATTAAGGTCGCTTTTGTTTGTTTTATGTATATGTGTAGGTCCTTTAGAAGGTTAACTAAATTTACCTTTTATTGTCATAGGATAACCCCAAAATGAAACCAAATATGAACAGCAGGGAGGAAGAAAACCAAGCAGTTAATCCTTATGAAACAAATGCCACAACAGGCCAAGTCACCAGACATGGGACAAGCAGATTGTCAAAATTAAACCTGCCTACGCTGACAAACTCACCGGTGTCATGTCATGAAGGAAGTGGAGGACCTCTGAGGGAGAGCCACAACTTGAAGGAGAGGAGGAGGAGGTAGGCTCTTTGGTGCTGATGAAGAGTGAGAGAAAACATGTATATAAATATATGAAAGACTCTGGATGTATGCTTTTAAACAAATTCTACGCATTTGTTCAGGTGACAGAGATCAGAGACATTTCTGTTAAATTTCTTGTTTTTGAACACGGCACAGGACTGCAGGCTACATCAGGCTAGTGTGTTCATTACAAGTCTCCACTGATGACTTTTTTTTGTAGGTTGAATGTGGTATCTGTGATTTGCCATTTTGGTTTCCCATCCAGGATGACATTCTAGAATTCTTAGGTGTGGGTGACACCTACAAGTAGCAGCCACAAGGGGATAAACAGTCGTGACAGAAAAGTTGCGTTAGATTTCTAATTATGTCAAGTGTTTGTCAATATTTAAAATTATGTGTTCCATGGACAAGACCGCAACCTCAAAGACATACTCGTCAGAAGCCAACTCTGACCGATCCACACAGCACTTCCTTTTGGGACTACACAATGCTCCTTTCGTTGTCCAGATCTCGTTGGTCAGTTTCCCCAGTGGTTCTTTCCAGATTAAGGAACCATTTACTTGTGAATCCCGAAACATAATTTATGCCATAATCTGTCAAAGATGCAACAAGGCATACATTGGGGAAACTGGCAGGTAGCTAGCTAATCGGTTCTGGGAACATCTCTCCGATATTGAAAAGAAGGAACTTAAACCACCCCCTCTCTAGTTTAACAGCTCTGACTACAGAGGCAAACGTGATATATCTGTCAAAACAATCAATTTTACTTTGGTGATCATACCGCATGCCTCACGTTGGGAAAAACTGCCTCATCCACAGTCTGGTCTAGGTGTTCTAAGCCCAGGAGGTATCAGTGTTCAGCATACCTTCATCTGAACAGTTTTACTACAGTCACTTTATTTTAAATGTAACTTCTCGTAAGCACTCTGTTCCCATCTTCAGCAGCCAGTTCCAGTGGTAGTCTGAATGTCCAGGCTCCTGCTTTCCTATTTATAAGCCGTTTTAGCTCCATTTGGCTTTCTCCTCTTCATTCTCTTTTCGTTGTCAGCTGAAGATGACATTTAATGCAGGTCAGACGTTCCCCACAGATGTGGTCAGACACTGAATCCGGCCACTGCTGGGTTTGAACCCAGACTTCAGCCTCGCCCTGAAAACAAACTTCTGTGCTTCCTAAGCTATGTTGTTGGCATCTTCCCTCTTTCGAGACAGTAGTGTTATGTTGTGCTATGAGAAGGCATGGGACTCACAGCTCATCCATAGCACAAAACCTGGATAGTATTGTAGAGACTGTATGTTGCTAATGCATCATGATCCCTCCCTTGTTTACTCCATAGGAAAGATAACACCAGTACATTTGGAATAAAGCATGCTGTAAAAGCTTCCGATGAGGAGAGCAGTGCTCTGGCTGTCCACCTGTCAGAGCTTCCTTCCTAGAACAACTGCCAGCCAAGGCTAAGAACACTAAGAACCTGATCTGCCCTGCCATAACACACAGTTTTCAGGGTACATTTCCTCTTCCTAGGATATGGCTAGTATCCTCCCCACTGAGTTCCTCCGCCCATATCCGTTGGCACAATATGGGATGTTGTGTTTGGTATATGCGCCCAAATTTGTTGTTAACCGAGTCCCAAGGAACGCATCATATGTTCATAGGTTCCTACACAGAGACCCAATAAACGCAGGATGCCCTAATTTTACATCTATTTCGACTACCTCTTGGGCCTCTGATGCTAAACCCCTTGGGACTCAAAGAGTTAATAGAAGACAGCTGGTACCGGTTACTGTATGTAAGGACTAATATACAGACATTTACATTTATGACAGGGCTCGTATCAAGGATGCCTGTAACCTGATGCGCCAGTTGGTGCCAGGCATGTCTCACAAGACTGACAAGGCCACAGTGTTTGAGTTTTCTGCCAGATACATCCACTTTCTGAAATCCTTTGTTGGCTCCAACAATGACAAGGTAACTGTATGGTTGGTTGTGAATGTTTACAAAAACTGTCCAGCTCTGAAGTTTGATGCTTTGCCATTCAGGTCTCTTAGGCTTTGAAAAACAAGCTTGTATCTGTCACAGTGAGGTTGGGTGTGGAGATATCTCTTTCCAGTGTAGTACTAACTCCATTAAAACTGCTGAAGATATCTACTTTCCTTTGGTATCCTCAGAAATCCTGATGGTGTGGGTGAGTGACTGTTTGTGTATGAGCGACAGTGTGTGTGGATGACAGTACGTATGAGTGAGTGTCTATGTGTGTGAATGACAGTATGTGTGAATTAATTACAGTGTACAACAATTATTTGCATTTTTGGGGAGATAACTGAGGCAAGTAAAGATCCATGCCCTGAGGTATATGCAGCACATGATTGCAGTTCCAAATAGAAAACAGTCAGCCATGTTCAAGCTACTGTTGGGAAACCAGGCTTCTAGAATAGTGTCTGGTTATATTTATGGTTTTGGGTAATTGCGCCATATTCATGGCTAAATTATTCACCACCAGGTAGCCTTGAAAAGGACCACCTACAAAGAGTCCTCAGAAGGACTTGTTGTGTTGCTGCGATCCTGCTCCCTCCTACCAACCAGTGACCAATGAGCGACTTGGTCGTCACCAGTGGGGTATATGATGCTAGCTGTGTACTTGTATAACACAGTTGCTCAGGGGGAAATCATCCTTTTAAAGTCAGGTGCATTTTCTTTAGAGGTAAAGAACCAGCAGTCTGCATATAAATAAGCCAGATCTGTAGAGCGGATATGCATCAATAACTCAAGTTCTGGAACAAGACGTGGATGACCCGCCATAACTTTCCACCAGGGTTTACACCGCTAGATGCTAAGAAGACATTGACTGGTACCCATTTGAGGCCAAGCCGATCTGGAAGTGCATGTCGGTTTTAGACACAAAATCTTTCAAGAGATACGGACAGGAAACAAGTGAGATTTGTTTAGAGAGGGGGGAGACCAGGAGTGCACAGACAGTTGACAGCAAATGACTTTCCTTCTTCCACAGGAGTTTCTGGTCAAGTACAGCCCCTATTGATGAACTTACTGAAGGGATTCTCTCTTTGAGGTGTCCGTCCACTCTCTTAGTGGACGCTTTCCTGGTGTTTTCAAGTCAGACACAGCTCAGGGCAGATGTTGCTATGGGAAAGTGAAGTGCTAGGCTGTCACATATACTGTCAAGTACAACCCCTATTGGTGAACTTACTAAAGGGATTCTCTCTTTGAGGTGTCTGTCCACTTTCTTAGTGGACACTTTCTTGGTGTTTTATGTCAGACACAGCCCAGGGCAGATGTTGCTATGGGAAAGTGAAGTGCTAGGCTGTCACATATACTAGGTCTTGGGTGATGATCCGTGGTGGCCAGTTGCCTTTCTCGCCACATCCCCGCCCGGCCCCAGAAAACTGTCCAATAGCCGCTGCATAGAGGCTGGGTTGACCCTTTGGCTTCCCATGTCTCTATTTTTAGGTGGGGAAAAAACAAAGAATAGACCAAATTCCCCAACAAACATGTTGTAAAAGGCGACTAATTACAGGATTGATGAAATCGGAAGTGCTGGACTGAAGGTACATCCGATTGTAACCAGATACCTAATTAGTACGCATGCTTTTTAGAAGGTGGCAGTGGGTCTGTTCTTTTACCTCAAAAATGGGACCTCAGGAAATACATACACACGTACGCACATACATACACATGGACATACATACACACACCCCTTTGTGTTTTCACAAATTAAACATGAGACAAACTGTTCTGAATCCTCTCCTCTCCTCTCTGAGCTCACTCAAACAAAAGACCGCCAGTCTTTTATAGAAATAATTTCATATTTCCTTCTTATTTCAAAGACCTGAAACTTGGTTCTAATTCAGATTTTGTTACCTTGTCTGTCTGTGACTTCATTCATATTGTTTTCTTCAGATGTACTATTTGTTGTTATTTATTAAGGGTGAACTGCTCCACCTAATTGTGATGTAATAAAGTATTAATGGTTCTTGTGTCATGATTGCTGTTGTCTTTCACACTGATGAGATCATGGGAAGTTTGACTTCTCTCGCACACTGATGAGGTCATGGGAAGTTTGACTTCTCTCCCACACTGATGATATCATGGGAAGTTTGACTTCTCTCCCACACTGATGATATCATGGGAAGTTTGACATCTCTCCCACACTGATGAGATAATGGGAAGTTTGACTTCTCTCCCACACTGATGAGATCATGGGAAGTTTGACTTCTCTCCCACACTGATGAGATCATGGGAAGTTTGACTTCTCTCCCACACTGATGAGATCATGGGAAGTTTGACTTCTCTCCCACACTGATGAGATCATGGGAAGTTTGACTTCTCTCCCACACTGATGAGATCATGGGAAGTTTGACTTCTCTCCCACACTGATGAGGTCATGGGAAGTTTGACTTCTCTCCCACACTGATGAGATCATGGGAAGTTTGACTGACTTGTATCCAATATTGATATTCAGTATGGCTACCATTGTTATCTGCACAGTTGCCAGGAACTCTGAAGGATTACAAAGCCAGACCTGTTACAGTAAGACACCATGTTTGCTCATCCAGTTTCTCTCTTCAAGCCAGGGATGTTTTATTACTGGTACGCAGTACCATCACCCTTTTAGACATCACCGTTTTCAGCACTAGTATTACGCCAGCGTAATAGACACTGTTTGGTGAGTATTGGAACATTTTTTCTAGGACAAAACCTGCTTTAGCCTAATATAGAGGCATCGGTAACTCAGTGTTACAGTAAAAACTAATAAACATTTTTTGTTTTCAACTTTCATCACACACACAAATAAATATATAAATAAAACAACCATTATCAAACCGTCTTTATTCATGAGCTGGAGCAGACAAAGTAACATGCTAACAAGTTCATAAACAATGGTCACCCCCCTCCCACTTTTCCACATACACACAGAGATCCAAGAAAAGTGTCACTCAGTCTGTCATCATGTGCCAGCATTAAAAGCTTTCTTTTTTTTTTTTTTTTTAGTATCCTGAAGCCATGAGTTGTTGTAACCCTTAGGCTCGGTATTATGGATATAGCAACACTTCGGCCTCGATTCCATGATAAATACTGTAAATCTGGGAGAAATGTGGCTTTTCTGCGTGAACCTGGACCACAAGGAGTTCGTCACCAGGTCACAGCGCAGTCCAGATTTAGCCAACTACGCTAGAGAGCCGGGCGCATTAAAAGCTAATGTTGCGTGCGGCTCTGTGATTTAAAGGATTGTGAATGCTTTCACAATGCAATACTCAACATCTACCAAGGTTCAATTACCACAGTGAGCAGTTTAGAAACCTGCAACTCTCATGGCTTTCAGAAAGTGGTACCAGAGTTGCACAAAGGAGGAGACTGGGAGCGTCACCACATAATGTCCCCACAGTTAGCAGCAGATTCATTGCAGCCTACCTCCATCCATCGTGGAGCCGGCAGACTTTATTTACAGGCTAATCTGGTTAGTTGTGTTTCCTTTACAGGACGTTGCAGAACCAACCCTAACAAGGTTTGTGTTAACATCTGTTGTGTGGTTTTTCTAGACAAATTTACGTCCAGTAGTTTGCCACTGCTTTCTGGACAGTCAGCTTTCTTGATACCACTGTCTAAACCAATGCAAGGCGCCTGGCCCGCAGCTGGGATTGAACCCGGCATTACGAAGCGTTCGCATCGACTTAGCCACAGAGCCAACACAGACTAATCTAGCAACTGAAAAAGAGAGGCTGCAAGGAATAACTGTCTTGGGGGGGGGGGGGGGGGGGGTGGCCTCACAAAAAAATATTATTTGTGATTTTTGAGGTAACAGAAAACAGGTCATAAATCTCCAATGGCCATGAACAAAACTCCAAGGATGTTTAACATACCAGGCATTCACACAATCACTACCTCACACAACATACAAAGCTGATGCCAAATTAACAATCATTAAGACAATCCCATCAACTTTCAAGCTTGAATATCTGCGGTGTAATGTATGACTTTTTCCTGGTACACATCCAGTTTCTGTTTCACATCTTGGTAAATCTGAAATTGTCAAGTTTCGAAATAAACAGTTGAATTGTAATCAACAAGTGTGATATGCCACTGTCAGTCATTGATTCTGACAACCGATAGTCAGGGGTTCATAGCTAAATTGACCTATCAATTTCTAAGTCCTTTTCAAGTTATCCTTAGTTTTTTTTTTTTTTTTTTTTTCAAGGTTGTCAACAGATTATCCTCACTGCACATCGAACTTTTTAATTATGAATCAACATCACAGCACTCGGGAGGATATTGCAATAAGCACTCTGTCCCCATCTTCAGCAGAAAGTGCAGAGCTCCAATTCCAATATCAGTCTGTATATCCATCTCATCTTTCCCTTGAGTGCTGATCGTCGACCAGATCCCCTGGTCACTCCTCCCAACACCACTCTCTTCAGACCATGATGATCTCCCTTCCCTTACAACATCTAGCTTCTTTTGCATCAATTAATTCATCACTACATTTAAGACCTTAAGGTCTTGGATTTTTCTTTTTCTTTGCGTTCACCAGCTGTAAACTCTGGCCAAAAGTTCTAGTTGTTCATCCACTTCTGGACTGCAGTCCTGTTCCAAAACCTGAGTGTTGCGTGTGCATCCATTTCACAGATCCGACTCATCTGTATGCAGACTGCTGGTTCCTTGCCTCTCAGGCCGATGCACTCTGACTTCGAAGGAAGCTCCCAGTTAGTCGACTCTTGCTTTTGGGTAAGCAGTGGGTCTATTCTTGTTTTCCCTACAACAGGGCCCTGGAACCCACATAGGAAGGTCTGGGATTGAAATCTACACCAAGAATTTATTTTTATTTTTTTAAAAATGACCTTGGCTCCAAGGTCGACCCAGCCTAAAATAGGTACCAGTTAATTAATGTTAAGGGAATTCAAGGTGGCCGGTGTGATGTTGACCACAGAACCAACTGAGGGCTGATTGGTCTGTAAGATATGATGCTAGCATCACATACCAAATACAGCGCTGGCATGAGAAGGGTCCCGGATTATCCAGACAATTCAAGCAAGAAAACTTGCTGGAGATGTTCTTCAAAGCAGAAATTTGCCACACCCAAGATCTATCCTGTACTGGCAAAGACATGCTGAGAGTTGACACCAAGATCTATCCTGTACTGGCAAAGACATGTTGAGAGTTGACACCAAGATCTATCCTGTACTGGCAAAGAGGTGTTGAGAGCTGACACCAAGATCTATCCTGTACTGGCAGAGATGTTGAGAGTTGACACCAAGATCTATCCTGTACTGGCAAAGACATGAGAGTTGACACCAAGATCTATCCTGTTCTGGCAAAGACATGAGAGTTGACACCAAGATCTATCCTGTACTGGCAAAGACATGTTGAGAGTTGACACTAAGATCTATCCTGTACTGGCAAAGACATGTTGAGAGTTGACACCAAGATCTATCCTGTACTGGCAAAGACATGTTGAGAGCTGACACCAAGATCTATCCTGTACTGGCAAAGACATGTTGAGAGTTGACACCAAGATCTATCCTGTACTGGCAAAGACATGAGAGTTGACACCAAGATTTATCCTGTACTGGCAGACATGTTGAGAGTTGACACCAAGATCTATCCTGTACTGGCAAAGACATGAGAGTTGACACCAAGATCTATCCTGTACTGGCAAAGACATGAGAGTTGACACTAAGATTTATCCTGTACTGGCAGACATGTTGAGTGTTGACACCAAGATCTATCCTGTACTGGCAAAGACATGTTGAGAGTTGACACTAAGATTTATCCTGTACTGGCAAAGACATGTTGAGAGTTGACACTAAGATCTATCCTGTACTGGCAAAGACATGTTGAGAGTTGACACTAAGATTTATCCTGTACTGGCAAAGACATGTTGAGAGTTGACACTAAGATTTATCCTGTACTGGCAAAGACATGTTGAGTGTTGACAGTAAGATCTATCCTGTAGTGGCAAAGACATGTTGAGTGTTGACAGTAAGATCTATCCTGTACTGGCAAAGACATGTTGAGTGTTGACTG